TTTGTTCATTGTTTTGATATTATTCCTTGTATTATTCATGCTTGCTGATATTTAGGTTTTTTTTTCTATTATTTGTTTAATTTCTTTTTTTATCAATTTTCTATCAATATAGTGTTCCATTGTTTCTTTAATTTTTTTCTTCAATCTTGATATTTTTTGTCTTGTTAGTTTGTGCTTCCATATAAGTATTTGGACTTCTTTTTTTTCTCACATCTTATATATTTTTCATATTTGTTATATCCTTCTTTGTCTCTTGTTTTTTCTTTTTCAATGTCAGTAAGTTCACTATTAATCTTCTTTTTCAATCATTTAATACTATTGCCTTCTTTTTTACTATTCTGTTGTGTTTTTTTATATCTTTCCTATATTGCTTTTCAATTGATTTACTATCTTGTTAAGATGCTTTGTATTTGTTTATTTCTTTCAAGTTTTAACTATATCATGATATTTTAATTTTGTTGTTGATTTTCTATATCTTTTTTCAGCCATTATTTTATATTTCTTCTTTTCATATTATATTTCTGTTTTTCCCAGTTTCTATTTTTTTTTCTTTAATATTTGAGATTCTTTGTTGCTCTTTTATTTTCTTGTCCACTTCTTTGAATATTTGATCTTGATTATTTTTATCTATTTATTCTACTTTGAAATTCATCTTTTCTTTTTCTCTTATCATTGCTCCTAATTTGGCCAGTATGAATTCTTTTTTATTTTGTTTTGTATTTTTTTTTTGCATTTTTTATTTTTATTTATATATTGTTTTATTAGTTTTAAATCTGTTATTATCTTTATTTTTCCTTCTATATTGATTTTTTTGATGCCTTCTATTATTGTTTTCAACTCTACTTGCATTGTATTTTGTGTTATATTCTCTTATATTTTTTTTTTATTTCTTTACCTTTCTTAATATTTCAATACTCCTGTATCCTTCTTTATCTTCTTGTATCATGCTGCATTTGTATATATTCTCTTATTATTATACTTTTCTACTTTCTTTCTTTTCTTTTTTTTTTTTGGTTTCTTTTGATTGTAATTCTTCTCTTGATTCTTTTGTTTTTATTCTATATAATATAAAAATGGATTAAAAAAGAAAATTAATAAATAAAAATATAAAAATAATTAAAGTTTTGTTTGAATGAGCCATAGTGATAATTTGCAGGCTATGATTTTTAGGCTTATTTTTCTAGCAAAAAATATTTAGAATAAGAAAATTTATTTTTTTCAAAATTACACTCAGAGATAACTGTCTAAGACAAGTGTTCTAGTTTGTAAAATAGGTTATATATTTAATATAATATTTAATGTATCACATATTATTGTTTTTATAAAGCACTTAATAAACAATACAAGGTTGTTTAAGCCAACTGAGAGCCTATAGAATGTCTACTGAGAGATTTAGGAGTCACGTCCCACTTGGTTAGCAACTGAGCCCCCAGATTTAATAGTATGTATCAACTATAGGAATAACTCAAAGCATTTATTAGGAAGTGTAGGAAAGTAAGATTACAGGTACCATGGATATTTGAGCTCGAGGTGTGAAGTGATAAGGAATCTAGTGACAGTTAATATGCTTACTATTAATTAAGGATTATGCAAATAAGCTCAAATCTGAATATGGACACACCCACGAGGTGTAAGTTGATATTTGGGTATAAGTAGGCAGTGCTAGGATTAAATTAGCTAAAATAGTTAGTCAGATCTTTTATATAATAACTATAAACTAAAGTTTAATAAACATCTCGCATGTAATGCACTTTGCCTATAAAAAAAAACAATACAAGGTTGTTTGATTGCAAATAAAATATATATATTGATAAGATAAAAATTAAAAAAACTTATTTATAAAAATTTAAAAAGTTTTAAGTTATACTGTATTGTATATTTATTTTCTAATTGAATTATGCTAATTTACTTAGAAATTAATATATATATTAGAGGGTTTAAAAATCAATAATAAAAATAACTTAATATTAAACAAATTATTTTTAAAATCTCAATCATTTATTATTTTACAAATATTATATATAACCTAATTATAAAGCCAATTTTTTTTAAAAAAATTAGAAACTTATAATAATGATAACATTAAATAATAATATATAATAATATATAACACTTTATGAGGGTCCTAGGGATTGATAGAAATTATATTTTATACTTTATTTCACCACTTCTTAGCTGATAATTTATAATGATGTTTTATATCGGCATTTTTCTATACTAATGATTATCTGACAAGACGTGTGCAATGCATTTATTTATTAAGTTACTGTATTAATATTCAATTCACAATACAGATAGTTTCGTTAATATATTTCAATTTATACTAGTGCGACACGTCCCAACTATCTAATATTGCATGATGTAATTTATACCATACTACAATAGATTATTGGCTAATAATAAACTATTTGACAAATTAAGGCAATGATTAAAAAGCTTTTAAAATTATATCATTATTTCATATAAAATTATATACAATCGACTATTAGTTATCAAAAATCAAAATATGCAATGCATCAGATCATGTTATGTGACCATGTTCCATATCCTTTTCCCATCAAAACTATACACTATAAAATGGGTTTTAAATTTCTTGACAATTTTATAACATATCATTCTTTTAATAATACATTTTGTAAAAAATCCATTTAATAAGTTATTTTTATGTCAAGATTTTGCAAACTCTAATAGAATCATACAAAAAAAGAAGAAATAGTTGCTAATCTTTGAAGGAGTCACATATTACATTGTAATATTATTTTTTATATTCTTTATATCATTTGATTAATAAAAAAATCTTAACAACTTCTTTTGTCTTAAAAAATGTCATAGGTTATAGTTAATATTTAAAATTAAAATTTAAAAAATGTGATTATGTTGATTTGTGTAATTTATCTAATATAGTATTAGGATTTTATAAAAAATTATATAGGTTACTATACTTTCTTTTCTTTTAATAAATGAAACTAATGTGGCAGGCCATTTATGTTACTACTATAATGCCTCCTATTATAAGTTTACGATCTTGTTCCAGAATTTTTTATACTGAATATAAAACAAGAAGCCAAATGATCATAGTTTTACAGATGGGAAATTAAATATTTTATTTTAAGAATATATTAGCTTCACTGGAAAGATAGAGTAAATGATATTTTATAATACAGAAAAATTAGCCAGTCAGTAGATAGGTAATTATGAAAAAACCAATATTATTTTAAATAATGATAACTATATTATAAATAAAAATAATACTGATTAAAGAAGGGAAAAAGTTGCCATTTTTATATAATCTACTGTACTTAATTTAAATTAATATTTTTATATTTAACATTTCTATATAACAATTATATTATTTTTTAAACTATTTGTACATATTATATAATATTGTTTTTTATTATATTGATTTATTGCCATTGCATCTAGTTCATGCTTATAATATTTAAAATAAATAAGTAACAAATAATCTTGTATCATTGCATAGGAACAAATCTATATATTTAATTATCATAAGTTATTGTTATTAATTATAATAATTAAGTTATAATACATAGTTTGTTAATTTCTAGCATTTGATTTTATTCTTGATAAATACATAGAGCACCTTTCATCTAATCATCCACTTAGGCTTCTTTTCCTACATACAGTATTTCTTACTCCACGAATCTGTAAACTCCAATTTCAACTTATTTAAAAAAACGAGACACCGGTTCTATTTCTTTGTCCTTTTCTATATTCTTGTTCAATAATTAGTATAATTATATCATTGTATTTTTTATTTTGCGATAGGTCTGAGGAAAGTCTGCGCAACTACTAGGTGCTTATTGTGAAAATATTTGTTTAAATTACTTTATATTTTATTGATTTTATTCTTTCTATTTTTATTATACAGTTCTTTAAAAAAAAAAAAAGCGTATATATATATAATTTATTATAAATTTCATTTTATAAACTCCAATTTATCTAATTTCATTATATAAACTTTGACTTTCAATCTTTAAAATACTGTAGAACCGCAGATCACATATTATAAACCAAGATTTACTGTATATATTTCACTCCACATGCGCCATGTACATATCTGTACCAATGTGGTAGGGACACTATACGAGTGGCGCAAGGGTGATGCAAGGGATGCATTTTATTGCAAGCGAAAATAGGAAAAAAAACTCAGCTTCACGTAGTGCTATAATAATATCTTTAATATTTTAAAATGAGAATATCGAGAGAGTTAGAGGTCGGCTAAGTAAAAATTATAGAGTAGCAGGATGTTATAAGGGAGAAAAAACATAAAGGAACATGTCAGCTTGATAAGCCTGCCAAGCCCTAACTCATATAATAACAGTTTTTCTTCCTTGCTACTCAAAGGTATAAATGAGTGTTATCCAAGCTCCTATCTTTTCTAAGTTTTCGCTTTTTATATTTTTCCCCACGTTGATTGATTTTACTCTGGAGCGTCGTGAACATCCTGCCGACCGATTTGAAAGCAGTTTTAAATATCTATAACAATAACCTTTGTCTCCATTGTGATGCTTTCTCTGAAACCATAGATCATGTGTTCAAGTGCTATCATGCACTCAAATACATTAACAAGAAAATAACCAAGTTATCTCAACTTATCTCAAGCCAATTTTAAAAATATCTCTCCCTAACTTGCTTAATTTCGTTATATTCGTCTTTTGCAAATATTTCATCTTTATAGGGTTATGTTTCGATCATCATTTTTTTTCACATTGAGAAGATTCGAGAACGATTTTTTAACTTGATAGTAAACGTAATCGGATATTAGCATTTCTTTATTACTAATAGCATGTATTCTTGCGTAATCGAAGATAGTCATACAAATCATTCCACAAACTAAGAATGAACGTTAATTAGCGAGAGATTATTTAATACTGATTAATCGTGGATCGCTTTACTGGTAATCGTATTGACCCAACCCACGAAGTTTAAAAATAAGTTTATTCTTAGTGAAGTTCATCGACAACAAAAAAATATTATGTCTATGTGGTAAAAATTAGGTTACACGAAGACATGCTGAAAATCAATAGCAGAGATAGCAAAGGTTATAAAAATTTCGGATGCGAATTATCTTTAACATTGATGTGCTAGCTACCCAGCTATTCCATAAATGAGGTTTTTATCCTATTAATATACGCTGATTGATCCGATTTTGTATAAGTTTCACCAGTATTTAAATCATAGTAATATCCTTCATCATCATCGTCAGAAAATCCATAGAACCCATCATCATCTTTAGACGCATTAGCATCCTCACTCCGTAAGTCATCTTCGCTGTTATCGAAGGGATCTTCAAAATCGTATTCATAGTCGGAACCTCGATCATTGCTCACCTCCTGTAAAGATTTAGATGCAATAGTATCCTCATTGCGTGAGACTTCTCCACTTATTTTATCAACATCAAGGAATTGCTGGATGGCTAGAGATTTGAGTCATTTATTAGGTGAGGCTTCAATATCTGATACACTTATCTCGTTTTCTGTTGAATTCGACTCCCGCCATACCAATTTGCGCCTTCGTTACTTGATCTATAATATATTGGATTCAATATTAGTAATTCTTGAAATAGTATCGGCACTGTAAGTAACTTGTTTAATCATATAACATCCTATTCCATTGACTTTTTCCTGGGTCATAGTATCATATTCCCATTCGAATAGCTTAAGAATTTTTCTTGCTTTACTTGTTATTTTACGTAATACTCATCAGAAATTCCTGTGAGGTATGGCTTCGTATTTTCAGAATAGTGACCCCAATATAAAATTTCTTCCTGCTTAGCTTTACAGATTTTTTTCTCGCTTTACTAGCCTGATATAACAAATGAGCAAGTTCAGCAGGTGCAGAATCTGAAGGCTTGCTATTAATGATTTCAATATTTCTCCTTCTATAGAGTTTACCGAAAATCTTTGTAACAAACCTTGTACAACTTCACTTGGCACGTATGTACTAGCTTCAGCTGAATTCCCAATAGATTTTTGAGATATATTTTGTACGGATTCTTTTGGTAAAGTCTTTTCTTGATCGTGAACAGTGTTCACGGTTTTCATGTCACATGATAATGGAGGTGACATAAACTCCTCTAATTCTCTTGAAGAGTCTAGTTTTTCTGAAGAGGCCTCTTGATCCCGAAGCTTCTCCTTGATATTTTGAATTATATCCTTACTAGCCTTTTCCTTATACTTCGAATCCAGGAATGCATCGACCTCCTTGTCTTCCAAAGATTTATCCCCTGTGGAAATAGGTGATGTGGGATATTGGGATGAAGACCCCGAATTTACGTCAGATTTTGAAGTATTGTCAGATATATCGGATGCTGAGGCATTATTGGGTTCATCAGAATTTGAAGCTTCATCAGTTATGTTAAATTCGGGGGTATCATCAGTCTGCAAGTTTAT